GTTCTCAAAGAGACCCAATCTATCACTGGCGGCAGCCATTGGGGGAAGACCCAAATTTGGTGAATTGTCATTGTTATGTACTGAGTTGAATAGGATCCAAAATGTAGCAGTCTGATTGGTCCTAGAACAATGCAGCAGTATGACTGGTCTGCAGGAGCCACCCAATCCAGCTCCAGATGGAAGTGAAGCCACAACCTGATTGGCCTACAGGAGAATTCCGGAATTAGCCAATCATGTGCAGCCCATTGTGTAAATAATGTATATAAAGCAGATACTTTTTTGGGGGGGGGGGACTTTCATTCCTCCTCACCACTATGAGCTGAATAAAGAGCATGAAACCCACTCTCGACTCTGAGTATATTTCAGTCATAGACCTGCGGGGTTCTGTTAAGGCCAGCACTTGATTTGCCTGAACCCCTGGACTCAAAGGAGACAACCTTTCTCAAACAGTGCAGCCCTGAACTAGGGAAGGCCTTGCCTCCTCGTATCACAGCTTGACGAGAATGAAAGACTCTGTTCTTATTCCCAAAACATTGCCCCAGGAGGAAGGAATGTCTGGCTGCTTTCCCTCCCTCTGGCAAAGGGAGCTCGCTGAGAGAAGCTGCCCGTTGTCCTGCTTTGCCTCAGCAAAGCCTCTGCCTTGGTGGACGGCGCTTTGGCTCAGGCGAGCTCTTGGAAATCAGATCCACCTCGCCGGACGACATCCAAACACTCCTCTTCACTGGGGCAGCACAGAACAAGGAGTGAAACGAGAGACAGGTTGCATCATAAGCGGCGTCAAGTAACAAGCAAGGCCCCGTTAAGGACTCGCAGTAAATATTTTCCTCCTATTTGTGGAGTCACTCTCCCATTCTGACCAGAGCAGGACTTCCTTAGCCTGGCAGAAGAAGCTCAAGTTCATGTTCAAGGGTCTCTCCTTCCCAAGAGCTGGTTGAGAGTAGACTCTCTCTCTCTCCTTCCTGCCTGCCATGGAGGGGAATGAGGTGATAGCAGAGTCTACTGTAGCTTGGACAGTGCCACTTAAACTGTAGGATAACATCACAAAACAACTCCCCGCAAGGAGAAACATAGCACAGCAGAGCTACAGTTCCCTGATATGCTATATGCTTTTCTTTTCTCTTCTACATGGCAGAGAATTAAAAACGTGACACATATACCTACCGTTTGAACTTGTACAGTCGCCTCTGACATGTTGGAATTCTTTTCCTCCATTATTTCCGCCCCCATTTTCTTTTTATTGATATTCATCAAAAGATACACAAACATTTTTATCCAATCAAAGGACCTTTTTATAATATACCGAATAAAAAAAAATGTACTGAAATTCCAATCTGAAAAGAAACAGGAGCGAAGGGAAACTTAACCTTTCCTTCACCCACCACAAACTGCCCCAAAGCATCCCTGCCTCCCATACACCCCGAGGATGGTATTTTGCTGATCTCACTAACATGACCAAGGAAGGACTGGACAATATGTCCTCTCCCAGATCCTGCAAGGGTCCCTATTTTCCAGGGACGTCCCTGATTTAGAGAAGCCATCCCAGTTTCTGATTTGATCCCGGAATGTCCCACTTTCCCTTAGGATGTCCCTATTTTCATTGGAGAAATGTTGGAGGGTGTGGAGTTATCCAACCCCTGAGCCATCTGAAGGCAATCCTGTATTGGGAGGGTTTTTTTTTTTTTTTTAAATGTTTTATTATGTTTCTATGTATGTTGGAAGCTGCCCAGAGTGGCTGGGGCAACTCAGTAAGATGGGGGGGGGGGGTATAAATAGTAAAATTATCATAATGGAATAACCCTATTTTCATTACAGAAATGTTGGAGGATGTGCTTTCCTGCACTTTTTATATAGACAGGCCTATGCAATTGTTTCCATTTTTTGTACTCTTATGCTTTATTGCATATGTTGCCGTACGCTGCCATGTCATATTGTACAAACTGGTGGCATATAAATACTTTTATACGTAAATAAATATCAAGAAAACTGTCTCGATTTAGCCATAGAAATAACAAAAAAAGTAAGAAGCTGCCATTGTCCTAGTCTATGGTTCCTCTAGCTCAGAATTATCTATACTGACTGGTACTTGCTTTCCAGAGCTTCAGGCAAGGAATTAAACATGAGAGCTTCCGCATGGCCCCGTCCCACAAAACCTAAAGTATAATTATGCTGAAGCGTATTCCTCAATAAACACACAACACGTAACCGGCTGTACTTTTGAATAAATAAGGTATAATATGCATTGTGTCAAATTGTCAAGTTGAACGAAAAAAGCAGAAGACCCAGTGGACCTGTCTGTTCATAGAGTCCAATAATGCTAGGATGGCGAAACAAGGCTAATATTCTGGAAATCCTTGTCTTAGACTCTGTGGAAGGATTCTGTGGAACTGTAACAACCCTTCATGTGGATTATTGGACTCTATGAACAGACAGGTGGAATAGACACTTATACATGTATGGACCTTATGTATGAACTGACTAGAGAATGAACTGATCCACTGGGTCTTCTGCCTTTTTCATTGAACTTTATGAGACTTCCATTGAAATCTACAATTTGACACAATGAATTTATTATTTATTTATTTATGAATTTATTGAATAAACCTTATTTATTCAAAAGTACAGATGGTTATGTCTTGTGTGTTTATTGAGTATGTTTCACATAACCATAGGAGCATATTCCTCAACACTCGTAGTTAAGGAAGAGAAAACTGATCCTTCAAATCATGCAACTTAACAGGAAAAATAGGCAGAAGTAATCAAAGCAACGAAGTTAAGCAGGAGTAACTAATTCATCTACTACCTTATTACAATTGAGTGATTCTCAGAAATAGTTCTTTGGCGGAATCAATGCCTCGTTATACCACAAAGACATGCCAGTAGTGGCGGAAAAGAGTGATTTTTTTTCAGAACTGATGCTCAACACGTTTAAGAACTATGTGAAAGTATTATTATTATTATGATATTTACATCCCCCCTCCCCCCCCATTCAAGGTGGCTTGCACAAATTAAAACCCAACAGGTGAAATACAAAAAGCTAAAAGCGTATAAAGGATCATTGTTAAAGAGTAAGTAAATGCAGTCCAAGGCCACTGAGAACAACATGGACAATATTGCACATATTAGGGGTGTTCAGGTAGTCACAGCAGGCTGTTGTAGTTAACTTCACCTAACAGTGGGATGAGAAATCGGGTCCTCCCTTAAAGAGGGCACGTGTTGCGGTGAGACCTGGCAACCAAACCCTGTGTTGTGGGTGGGTATGATTGGATAGCCACAACACCCAATTGGTAGGTCCCTTGATGCAGGGTTTAATCAGGCCAATGGGACACAGGATAAATGGATCAAGGGACCTATATATACCTATACACGTGACCCAGAGCTTCCTCTTTCGGTGTGTGCATCGGAACACCTGCCCACCTCTCTCTACTTTTAGGGCTCTGCGCTTGACCTTGCTATGCCATCGTGTATCGTCTGTCGTTGGGACAGGGGCACGGCAGGAATTTTCCCCACTTGGCTGATTGGCTGTTGCCATTTGGGTTTCGCCTGCCGTGTAGCAAATCGTCATAACTTGTAAGGTTGCGGATAGGCTCTGGTTCAGGTGATAGGGATGGGAGAACGCTCTCGCCATCCCTATGTGAAGGGTATTCCTTTAAAGGAATCCAGGGACTCGGTTGTTTGGTCAACCCTGTGAGTGTGTTGTGCCTGTGCCTGAGTCCAGGGGAACATCTGGGTGGTGGACATAGCCTGTTCCCGGCTTTCCGCCTATCCGGATGTTCACCCTAGGCTGACCTGTGCTGGTGCCCTGGGTCAGCGCTACCTGCAACGGTGCAGGGAGCTAGTCAAAACAGAGCCTATGCAACCACTCACTTGCTGTAATTAATAAAGTTGTGGCCTAAATTCTGCCAAAAACCAAAACAAAATTTGAGTCTTGTCTGAATTTATTTAAGGGGGAGGTTTAAAGGTCTGAACACGCAAAAGGCACAACATTGCACTGAAATGAGCAGGTGTATGTTTGCCTTTCCATAGAATGATGTGGTAGAATAATTAAAATTCTTAAGCATATGGCCATTTAATAAGAACAATTCCTGGGGAAAAAATGCAGCTTTGGCTCATACATAGTGGGCAGTTCAGAAGGCTTTAATGATGTGCTTCAGTCACAGAGGTCACGAGAAGTTTGGCCAGCACTCATACGGCAATATTTCCCTTTAGACAGTGCAAAGTTCAAGCGATGCATAAATGGGATTCCACAACCATCTCCCTCAGCGAAAACATGCTGTTGCTGTTGCTATTGTTGTTTCAAGCAGGGTTTTTTTTAATTAAAAAGAAAACAAGCCAGTGTGGTCAATGGTCAGGGGTGATGGGAGTTATAGCGCAGCAGAATTTAATAATAATAATAATAATGATAATATTGATGATGATGATGATGATGATAATAATTTTTATTTATACCCTGCCCTCCCCAGCCAAGGCCGGGCTCAGGGCGGCTAACAAGCAATAATAAAAACAAGTTGAATGAATACAACTTAAAAACAAGATTAAAATACAACATTAAAAATTGAAACATTAAAATATTAAAATACAGCCTCATCACAGGAGGAGAAAGGAAAAAGAAAAAAGAAAGAGGGGGAGGGAATCAAATTGGCTCCAAGCCAAAGGCCAGGTGGAACAACTCTGTCTTACAGGCCCTGCGGAAAGAAATCAGGTCCTGCAAGGCCCTGGTCTCATGAGGCAGAGCTTTCCACCAGGCCGGAGCCAGAGTTGAAAAGGCCCTGGCTCTGGTTGAAGCCAATCTAACTTCCTTAGGGCCCGGGACCACTAGGGTGTTGCTATTTATGGACCTTGAGGCTCTCCGTGGGGCATACCGGGAGAGGCGGTCCCGCAGGTACGAGGGTCCTAGGCCGTGATTTAGAGGGCTACTTTACTTTTGTGGTCAAGTGCTTTCTGGTGTTTGTTAAAGGTGCTTTGAATTGTAGCACTGTGTGGGAGAAACTACAGTTCCCAGGACCTGGGATAGCTCAGGCAGTAAGAGCATGAGATGCTTAATCTCAGGTCATGGGTTCGAGCCCCATGCTGGGTAAAAAGATTCCAGCAAAGCCTGGTATTAGATTACTCTTGTGGTCCCTTCCAACTCTGTGATTCTGTGATTCTTTGGAGGAAGCCATGATACTTAAGGGGGTATAAATGTGCCTTAGATGTATGTTGTGCAAAGAAAACCCATACAGTGTTGAACACCATTAAGCGCAACCTCAGCCTTTGCCAATCTGTTGCCCTCCAGATGAATGAATGAATCTTTATTTGCGTCAGACATCGGCCATGGCAATAAAACAACAATATGCTATACAAAGAATAGAAATAAAAAGTCAGTTATATAAAATACATTCTAGGGTTTTGAATCAATATTCAAATAGCGGGTCTTATTCTGATTGCCCCAGCTAGAAACCTTGCAACCTTTGCTGTCACCTGCTCATCTTGATCTGCCAAGAGAAAGGACACTGTGGCAGTGGTTGGGCGACCGGGAATGGACAATAAAAGAGGGGTGGTAATCTCATTCCTCCAGTCTATAAAGAGTGCAAGCCACTCTTTATAAAGCATTTGCCCTCCAGATGTTTTGGGCTACAATGCCCATCAGCCCCAACCAGCACAGCTGGATTGATGACTGGTGCTCTGCCACCGTGCTCTGAAGTTCTTGCCTTTGTGTTTTCAGGATCTCGTTCAGACTGCACACCACACCCCAGTCTCCAGTGTTAAGGTGCGCTGCTTTGAACATGATTTCCTGAAAACAATGAGCATGATTTATATTGTGAATCCACACAGCTCTTGCACAAGCACAAACTAACTCGCAGCATTTTTTTTTAAAAAAAACACCACATTACAATAAAGCCAATAGAGAAATGGAGAGGTGTTTAAAATGATCTGTATCAAACTGAAAATACCCGACAAGCAAAAAAGGACAAAGCAGGCGAACGAATATTAAAACAGCAGCAGCAGCAAAGAAAACGGCATCTTCAAAAGCCAGATAAAGCAGATACACCTTGCATTGCTTCTGAAACGGCTGTGCATTCCTAAGCGAGAGGGCAATCTTCCAGGGGCCACATGCCAGGGGGTGTGGGGCCTGAGTCAAAGGTGGGCGGAACAACAGACATGAACCTAACCTTCGTACATCAGGCTGGTTTCCACACCCACCTCTCCGTCCTTGATCCAGGCATGGAAGATGCATTTTCAGAATTTAAGGACACATTCCAGACTAGGCAAAAAACACTCAAGGAAGGTGCAAAACAGGAGTGGCGAGGGGTGTGGCTTGAGAGGGGGTGTGGCCTGAGGAGAGTCCCAAGGGCCGGACAGAGAGGCCTGGGGGGCCACACTTGGTCCCTGGGCCTGAGGTTCCTCATCCTTGGCCTAAAATGACTTAACCCTAATTTGGCTAATTTAGGGTTCCCTAGAACAGGGGACCCACCAAACTGTGGTCCGTGGACTACAAGTGGTGCACAAACTTCATTCAGGTATGTCTGCATTAAACAGATGTTTAATTATATTGCTATTGCTTATTTTATTTCCCAGATAGCTAATAAAAGAAGTGGTACGATGCAACTCAAAACCACCTGGCATCTAGAATGGTGCATCTCAATGGCCAAAACAGGCAGAAAAACCATTTAAGAGGCCTGCCAAGATCCTCAGCGATTTTCAAGCTGTCTGGTGGGAGGGAGATAGAATTGGGAGCCAGTTCCCTAGAAGAATACAGTTTGAACAACTTCTGGTCTAGAGGATAGAGCAGGCATAGGCAAACTCGGCCATCCAGATGTTTTGGGACTACAACTCCCATCATCCCTAGCTAACAGGACCAGTGGTCAGGGATGATGGGAATTGTAGGCCCAAAACATCTGGAGGGCCGAGTTTACCTATGCCGGGGGTAGAGGACAGTTCTAGAAGTCACTGACACTTTGAAATCAAGACCTTCCTTGCCATGCAAGTCAATGGTGATCAACTAACCAGTTTCTTGAGCCTTGTAAGATGTGGGTCTAGACCTTTAAGAGAGATGACAACAGCCTCCTCCTCCTGTTGCTAACCTAAACCTCTCTCTGGCTTCCTTGCCCTCGCCAGTCTGTGTTGCAGAAAAGTCTCACTGCAAACAATAAGAAGGAGCTATTCTTTCGTGCTTGTCTGATCTCTGAGCACAGAAAAGAGCTTATAAGGAAGGTAGATCATGAATATGATTGGCTCCTGAATGTACAAGTAAGTGGTTATATATACACACACATACTGCTGGAAAGCTGCAGCCTGCCTATGAGAAATGTCATTATCTTTTCCGATGAACAAATTAGATTCAGCAGAATACAGAGAACATCTGTGTGGATGGCAAAAAAAAAAAAGGTATTTGTGAAGCACTAGGATAACCCCCCCAAACCCTTCAAAATTAACAAACCAGATATCCATAGTAGTGTGTGTGTGTGTGTGTGTGTGTGTGTGTGTGTGTGTGTGTGTGTGTGTGTTTGTGAACACTTGGCTCCTCTGGCAACAAACTGCTTGTATTCAATGCTAGTTTTTCTCAGAATCACTACTAAGTCATTTCAGGCAGTCTGTTCTGAGTAGGACTAGCATTTGGTACAATACATAATTTGTGGGCAAACTAATTTTATATTCTTTATTGAAAAATAAAAAGTTACAAGTTCACAGAGTAAGATAAGACACAAAAAAGAAGCAAAAACCCCCTAGAAATAATACCAATGTAGGAAACAAAACAGAACAAAGATAATGTGTACTTTGCAAAAAAACAAAAAGAAAGGTGGGGGATTGTTATTGCAGTTAACCACACCTTAATAAAATATGGTATTTATAAAAATGAATTCCAAATATCATTAAGTTTGTCCATGGCAAGTCTACGTTTCTACACAACTTGATCATGAGTAGTGAATTTGTCCACATAAAAATGTGTGTCCCTTTAATGACTGGATTGAAGATCTATGGGCCAAAGTAGAAGTGATGAACTAAAATGCAGGCAGGACAGCATTTCTATTTAAAAAATATGTATATAAATTCAAACAGGAACCACCAGGGACCCAATCTGGATCAGAACAAGGAGACGGGGAGAAGTGAGGCTCACTGTTCCCTTGTGGCCCTTGTCTAGATTGTGGCCACAGTGGCTGGCATTTGAAAATTAATCTGTCTCTCTTACGTGTGTGTGTGTGTCTGTGTGTGTGTGTGTGGTTCATATATCCCTGCATGCCTCCTTCAACCTCACTTGGGAAGAGAAAATCTGGGGCTGCAGGAGCACCACAAAAACATCTCCTCTCTCTCCCACAGGGTTCCGATTCTCATATGACATGTTTGCAGTGTGCATAGGAGAAGGAGAGACACGAAGACTTAAAGAATATGGCACAAGCCCATTTGGCTCACAGAACCCGCTAGCCACGAAGAATGTGCACCAAGATGCAGGGAAACATATGTGTGCATTGGAATTCTTACTGCTGGGGTTGTGTTCACAATGCACATTTTTCACAGTTTGCTTTTTTAAAAAATGAAGCTTAGATTCACACAAACACACACACACACACACCACTGTGGGTGGCTGCTTATGGGTAGGATCTTCTACATACCGTATTTCTCGCTCTATAGGATGCACTTTTTCCTCTCCAAAAACGAAGGGGAAATGTGTGTGCGTCCTATGGAGCAAATGCGCACCAACCCCTCTCGCTCTCCAGGCTTCAGGAAGCTATCCGCAAGCCTTTGGAGCGTGGCGGGAGTGCCCGCTGGGCTCCGAAGCCTTGCGGATATCTCCCGGACCCGTTCTGGGGGCTGGGGTTGGAGGAAGCTCGGGCTTCCCCCGCCCCAGCCCCGCAGCTAAAAAGGAAGCCAAGACAGCGAGCGGGATCCATCCCGGCTGGAGAGGTTGTGCGTGGCTAAAGAGGAAGCCAAGAAGTCTTGGCTTCTTTGCTCTTTGGAGCTGGGGGGGGGATAATTTTTTTTCTTTATTTCCCCCCCCCAAAAAAACCTAGGTGCGCCCTATGATCCAGTGTGCCCTATAGAGCGAAAAATACAGTATTTCTCAATAGCTGCCCAGGAAACGATATGTAAGGATGACCTTGTATGGGTAACAAGTGGAGAAGATCTAGGAAACCAAAAATACCAAAGATATCTCCCCTTTTTAACTGAGCGAGGAGCTGGCAGCAATGATGCCAGCCTGGTGGATGTGAAGGCATTTTGGCCCTCACATTTGCTGCTTTGTTAGTCCTGGGCCCGTTGCCCTAGAGCTGCTGGAGGAATAATGGGAAAAACATTTGCTGCCATGTTTTACAGGCCAGGAGATGCCAACGGCCCCACCTCACCGGTGCTGGTGTCCAGAACGCTGTCGCCTGCTCTGCTTGCATGGGCGTAGAACATCCTTTCTCCAGCTCTGGGAGAGGTGGCAATCTCTTCTTGCATCTTAGATTATCTCTTGTTGGAGCAGCAAGATCCTGCTGGCCGTAGGCCAAACTGGATGCTTACACACTAAGGCAAAGGACCCCTGGGCAGTTAAGTCCAGTCAAAGGCGACTATGGGCTTTCAGCACTCATCTCGCTTTCAGGCCGAGGGAGCCGGCATTTGTCGATGGACAGCTTTCCGGGTCCTGTGGCCAGCATGACTAAATCGCTTGTGGTGCGACAGAACACCGTGACATAAGCCAGAGCGCACAGAAACACCATTTACCTTCCCGCACCACAGAGGTACCTATTTATCTACTTGCACTGGCATGCTTTCGAACTGCTAGGTTGGCAGGAGCTGGGACAGAGCAACGGGAGCTCACTCCATCACGGGGATTCAAACCGCCGACCTTCCGATCGGCAAGCCCAAGAGGTTCAGTGGTTTGGACCACAGCGCTACCCGTGTCCCTGCACACATGCTATACGTTCATAGCACATTTGAAGCACATTTCCACCTTCGAAGAATTCTGTGCCCTGAAGTTGACAATTCCCAGTGACCCTTAGCAAACTATAGCTTGTGAAGAGGGGCGGACCATAGGGAAGGAAATGGCAAGAGCTATCAATAATGGTCAAGACCAGTCATCCCTCAGAAGCTATTGCTCAGAAGTGCAATGGGTCATTT